TGCTCTTATCACTATTACTGAACACAATATTGGAAGTTCTAATCAGAGTAATAAGCCAAGAAAAATAAATAAAAAGCATACAGATTGTAAACAAAAGAATAAAACTGACACTATTTGCAGATGACATGATCATCTACACAAAAAAAATTCTAAGAATCCACTAAAACCTCCGAGAATTATTAAGTTTAGGAAGACTGCAGAATACAAGATCAAGGCACAAAAATCAATCACATTTCTTTTAAGATTTATTTATTTATTTTAGAGAGAGAAACACATAAACATCATGAGCAGGAGGGGCTGAGGGAGAGGGAGAGAGAGAATCTCAAGCAGACTTTGCGCTGAGCGCAGAGCCCAATGGGGGGCTCGATCCCAAGACCCTGAGATCATGACCTGAGCCAAAACCAAAAGTCAGTGGCTTAAGGGACTGTGCCACCCAGGTACCCCAATCACATTTCTATATGCAAACAACAAAAATGGGACACAGAAGTTAAAAGCAAAACATCATTTACAATTACTTCAAGGAAAGGGGTGCCTGGGAGGCTCAGTCCATTAAGCATCAGACTCTTGATTTCAGCTTGAGGTTGTGATCTTGGGGTCGTGGAATTGATCTTCATGGGGCTCCATGCTCAGCACGGAGTCTGCTTGTCTCTCTCCTTCTGCTCCTTCCCCCGCACTTGCTCACACACACTCTCTCTGTGTCTCTAAAATAAATAGGAGCGCCTGGGTGGCTCAGTCATTAAGTGTCTGCCTTCGGCTCAGGTCATGATCCTAGGGTCCTAGGTTTGAGCCCCGCATCGGGCTCCCTGCTCAGCACGAAGCCTGCTTCTCCCTTTCTCACTCCCCTCGCCTGTGTTCCCTCTCTCGCTGTGTCTGTCAAATTAATAAACAAATCTTTAAAATAAGTAAATAGATAAATAAGTATCTTTTAAAAAATTACTCCAAGGAAATGAAATCGTCTCACATAAACTTAATGCAATATGTATAAGATCTGTATCCTATAAATTACAAAATGTTAATGAAAAAAACTGAAGAAAGCCTAAGTAAATTGAGAAACATACTATACTCGTGTATTAGAAAACGCAACAAGATGCCAATTTTCCCCAAACTGATATATAGCTTTGATGCAATTCCTATCAAAAATCCCAGCAAGTGTTTTGTAGATATAGGCAAATTTATTCTAAAATGAAAACGAAAAGGCACATGACCTGGAATTGCTAAAGAAACTCTGAAGCAGAATAAAGTGAGAGGAATCACTATACTTGACCTTAAGGTTTAGTACAGAGCTACAGAACGGTTATCGAGACAGTGTGATACTGGCAGAGGGATAAACACAGAGATCAATAGGGCCACACAGAAATACTAACTGATTTTTGCCTCAAAAGCAATTCGATTAAGGAAGAAGACACTTTTCCACAAAAGGGGGTGCGACAGCAATTGGACTCCATAGCCAAGAAAGTAAAGAGACAAGATGAGAAGCAAAATGCCTCAACCTAAAATCTCACGACTTACACAAAAATTAACTCAAAATGGAACATGGACTTACACTTACTTAAATGTAAACCTATAAAACGTTTAGAAAACAAAGAAGAAAATCTTTAGGATATAGGACTAGACAAAAAGTTCTTAGACTTACCACCAAAAACATAATCCGTAAAAGGAAAAATTGATAGATGACCTTATCAAGATTAAAATAATTTGCTCTGTGGAAAACCTTATTAAGTGATGAAAAACAAGCTATAAGCAGGGAGAAAATATTTTCAAGCATATCCCACGAAGGATTTTAACCCAGAATATAAATACATATACTTTTTTAACTCTTTGAACTCAATGGTACATAACAAAGAATCCAATTAGAAAATGGATAGAAGAAACAGGTATCTCACTGAAGAAGATACACAGATCCCAATTAAGCACATGAAAAGATGCTCAACATTACTAGCCATTAGAAAAATTCAAATTTAAACCACAATGAGATCATCTACACACCTATTAGAGTAGCTAAAATAAAAAATAGTGATAATACCAAATACTGGTGAGCATGGGGAGGAACGAGATCACTCATACATTGTTGATGGGAATGTGAATCACTCTAGAAAAAGAACATGACAGTTTCTTATAAAACTATATATTCACTTACAACTCAGCAGTTACACTCTGGAGCATTTATCACAGGGAAATGAAAACTTTTGTTCACAAAAAAATCTGTACACAAATGTTCATACAGCTTTATTTGTAATAACCAAGCCTGGAAACAAACTAGAGGTCCTTCAACAGGTCAATAAACAGTGGTACCTCCATACTATGGATTACTATTCAGCAATTAAAAAAAAAAAAACAAAACTATTGGTTCATACTAAAACTTAGATGAGTCTCAAGGGAGTTTTGCTGAGAAAAAAGCCAATTTCAAAAGGTTATACACTGAACCATTTCCATTTAAATAGTATCCTTGAAAAGACAAAAATTATAGAGATGAACAGATCAGTGGTTGCAAAGAGTTAGGGAGAGGGAAATGGAGGAGTGCAACTGTGGCTATCAACAGCACAAGGGATCCTTGTCATCAAACTGTTCTGTATCTTGACTGTGGTGGCCCCGTGAATCTACACCAGTGATAAAAACCATATATGTGTGTGCACATGTATGTATATATGAGTGCATGTAAAACTGGTGAAATATGAATAAGGCCAATGGATTATATCAATGTCAGTTTTCTGGTTATAATATTCTACTATAATTATGCAAGATGATACTATTAGGAGCAATTAATTGAAAGATATATGGAATCTATTATTTCTTACCATTGCATGTAAATCTGTAATTATCTCAAGGTAAAAATTTTTTTTTTTAATTTTTTAAAAAGATTTTATTTATCCATTTTACACACACACACACACACACACACACACACACACACACAGAGATCACATGTTGGCAGAGAGGCAGGCGGCGGGTTGGGGGGAGGAGGAAGCAGGCTCCCCGCTGAGCAGAGAGCCCGATATGAGGCTTGATCCCAGGACCCTGAGACCACAATCGGAGCCGAAGGCAGAGGCCCAACCCACTGAGCCACCTAGGCACCCCTCAAGATAAAAATTTTAACAAAATCAAGCAAGCAATATGTGAAAATCAATGTGAAACAGGAAGAGTCCAATCCAAGATTTCAGAGGTTTCACAGTGCCCCATAGAAACACACATCCCATTAGCAAATAACTGCTTATTCCTCATGGAACAGTTTGTGAGAAGGAAATCTGAAAGACTCTTTAATGAGCCAAGAGACTGGGTTCTACAAATGAGACTGTTTAAACTGTCAGAGCAAGATGCTGTTCATTGGCAGGTTTAACATTTCAGGTGTGCCCATACTCTCCCCTTCCTTCCACCCTTTGGGGTGGGAAGAAGCTTCTGAGGAAGAGTAGATCAATCACTTAAAAGAAAAAAAAAAGAAGCTACATTTCTTGCACATCTAAGTAGTGGGTGTATCCGTAATCCTGCTATATATAATTAAAGATACTAATACCAAAACCTTCTGTAATGGAATCAATGCAATTCCATTTCTAAAACTCTGTAGTAGATTCTGCTTAGATTAAAATATATCAAAGAAGAGTTCAAAAGACTAGGAAAGATGAATGCAGCTAGTAACTCTGAGGAGGCAGACAAGCAGGTTGCGCTCTTAAAATTTTATTAGATAAAGAACATTCTCGAGAATATATGATGGACGAGGTCTACATTTGCATTTAATAAAACTTAACATGACATTAGTCTAATGTGAAATGTTAAACCATTTAGTGTACAGAACTGTTTGTGTAGCTGTCGTGCAAGAACAAAGTATAAAGCTCAGCATTTTCACCATCTGTTTTAGAAAAGTCATTTGAATAAACAGATTTCTTTAGTATATATTTCCAACACATTAGTTACATAGGTAAGACTCAAACCTTTTTCAATCTTTCTTGCATTCCAAATAAAATCTTAGTACAAACATCAAAAACACTGGCCATCCAAAAGACTGCCTCCCAAACTCATGAACAGAATATGAGTTCTAAAATAATGCTTATTACATGGTTTATTAAGTAAAATAAAGCCAAGAACTATCAGTTACTGTAAAATTCATGTAAGATACACATTTAATAGTCCAGCTCTAAGCATTCCTTTTTAAGTTTCTCACATTGAGTGCTGTTTACACAACTAAAAGTTTATCATTCAAGTATCAGTCATTACATTTCAAAACAAGGACATCATTTCTGACACCTTTCTATAAAAGAAAAAAAAAAAATCACAGTGAATAGAACCAGTATCCATAATAAACTAAACTGGGTAAAGGGGGGGCACTTTGGGGAGGGAAGAGTGTTTCATTTTCACAGTTAGAATGAGGTAAACATCATTCGGCCCACACCACGAAATCCATGAGAAAGGATGAAATCTGATCCCTGCATTACTTTAAAATCCCATGTTTATGAGTTTATATTGCATTTGCTTGTACCAATACATGACAGATATCTATCACTCTTTCATATACATTGAACCATTCTCAGGAAATACGGGAGAGGAAAAGTCCTTACTAATACACCACCTAAAGCAACTTTTACTTAGAATGTAAATTCTTCGAGTCAACCATTTCAAATACCAACTGTGTTCCTCCATCAATCCCCCGCTTCTCCTCTCCTATCCCAGACCCCCTCGTCCCAAAAGAACCCTTTATGTCTGTTAAGCTTCATAACTGACGTGGCTGAGTACCACCTCCTCTGGAACAAAAGTACACTCTCCACCGTACCTTCCTTTTCTTTAACAGCTGAGCAGAATCATAATGCTTTCAGGCATAGGTCTAGATCGCTAGGTCATGAAGGCTGCTGCGGGCATGACTGCTGGCTTTGCAGAACGGCTGCTGCTCTACAATGACTACTGCCCAGTAGCTACTTTCGTAGCTACCCACCAGAATTCTGCTTATGGGGGAAATCAAAAGGCTGTGCGTGCAAGTCAGAGGGGGTGCTTCCCCCCTGCCCTATTAGATCTTGCTATGCTTTCTGTTTAGCATGGGTTTGCTCGGTTCCTTGTTTATCGTAACTGCGGCAGGAAGAACTGCTCCTGTTTCCAGAGGCTGCCCTTCCAGAGGCCACCCTGTCGATGGGAAGGGACACGGAGGAGAGAGGAGCAACCGATGAAGTGTCAGTGGAGGGGCTTGGCAGACCAGATGTATCAAGGTAAGACTCACTCTCTGGATCCTTCACATGGCCCTTTAAGCCCCTAAAGAAGACACAGAACAACTCCATGATGTTCAGAGCAAGAGAGACCAAGGACACCACCAGCATGAAGAGAATGAAGATGCTTTTCTCTGTGGGGCGAGAGAGGAAGCAGTCCACCTGATGCGGGCAGGGGTCTCGTTTGCAAGTGTAAACCGCATTCAGGCTGAATCCATAGATGTACCACTGGATCAGCAGGAAGGCCACCTCAAAAATAGACTTGAAGAAGACACTAATGGTATAGACTCGCAGCAGGCCCCTTCTCGTTTTCACCTTACAGTGTTCTTCAATGCTACACTTGAACTTCTCGACTTCCTGCGAGTGCACGTCCATGTTGGCACCATCGTTCTGAGTGACTCTGAGATCCTCCCCTCTCTTTTGCAACTTCTCTTCCTTGCGTATCATGTGGAATACGTGCGCCAGGTACAAGAGTGAGGGGAGGGACACAAACATGATCTGCAGGACCCAGAAGCGCACATGAGAGATTGGGAAGGACTTATCATAGCAGACGTTTTCACAACCAGGCTGCCGAGTATTACAACGAAAGGCAAACTGCTCATCGTCCCAGGCTGACTCAACAGCTGTCCCAAGTAGCAGGATTCGGAAAATGAACAGGACGGAGAGCCACACCTTCCCTCCAGGGGTGGAGTGAGCTTGAACCTTGTCAACGAGTTGGCCTAAGGCACTCAAGTCACTCATGTTGCCTGTTGGCTGTTCTTTCGCTTAAAAGAAGTGAAGAAGGCACACCAAGTGATTGCACTCCTTGGAGGATGAAGTAAAATGAAAAAGTAAGTTCGAGCACTCAACACTTTCTAAAGTTTCAAAGTCTGCTACACCCTTTCGTACCTTCCTCACTCTTCTTCCTAATGAAAGACAAATGCTGATACCTAATAAAAGCTTATGTGGATTCATTTCCACACATGGTGAGCAAATACTCTTATGTAAGGATGTACATATATCAATAATGGGACAAATTACATAAATGAGGGGACTCAGGGGCACCTGGGTGGCTCAGTCAGTTAAGCGGCTGCCTTCACCTCAGGTCATGATCCCAGGGTCCTGGGATCGAGCCCCTCATTGGGTTCCCTGCTCAGTGGGGAGTCTGCTTCTCCCTCTCCCTGCTACTCACCCTGCTTGTGTGCTCTCTCTCTGTGTCAAATAAATAAAATCTTAAAAAAAAAAATGAGAGAACAACACAAACACATCTAAAGGTTTCCTTCAATTCCAGAATAAAGCAATCTCCAAAGATGAAGACTGAAACACAGAAACTAATTAAAAATTCACATGCATATATTGACCAATTCATCTTCAAACGTTATTCGGGCCATCACTTCCCAAGTAGGGAATGATAGGGGTGCCTGGCTGGCTCAATGAGTACAGGATGTGATTCTTGATCTCAGGGTTGTAAGTTTAAGTCCCGTGTTGGTGTGGAGACTGCTTTAAAGGGGGAGGGGGGACCAAATATATAATGATATTCATCTGAGCATTATTTATTCAGTGCCTACTAGATACCAGGTACTATACTGGACACTGGTCCCTATGGATGAGTAAAACAGAATTCCTGTACTTGTGCAACTTGCAAGTAACTAGAGGAAACAGATCGTTAAAAGTACAATATTTTAGAGATGCCTGGGTGGCCCAGTCAGTTAACCATCTGACTCATGATCTCAGCTCAGGTCTTGATCTCAGGATTGTGAGTTCAAGCTCTGCACTGAACTCTGAGGAGCCTACTTTAAAAACAAAACAAAACAAAACAAAACTACAGTATTTTATTAAACCTAAGACACAACTGATTATAAGATAAACCATTATGTTACTTACCATTCAGAAAGCGATCAAGGCATCCAGTGTTAAGAGGTGCCTCAATTTCAGAAATGTGAGGGGAAATGCACATTTTAGAATCAATGAAAAAGGCTAAATGAATGTAGAATTGCAATTTTAAGTTAAGTGCTAAGAAGTTAAAAAAAAAAAAAAAAGGTACTGACAGAAGTTAACTCAAGGAAACGCAGATCAGTCTGTATAGAGTCAGCCAGGCAAAGAGTCTGAAAACTATCAGCTGTGATGGAAGCCAGCACAGGCAAGGCTCTGAGGGTGGGAGAACTCACTGGACTCCGGGAGCTCAGCGGCAGGCAAACTGGTTAGCAGGTATCAAGCAGAGGTAGCACAGCCCAAGACTGGTGCCGGAGCAGGCTGCCTCAGGCATCTGCTTAGCAGCGGCAGAGACACCCAGGAGCAGAAAGCATGATTATACTGTGATGGGAGGGCAAGACTGAAGCTGAGGGAAAAATTACTAATGACAGTTCAGGAGCTCTAGGGGTCTGTAGGAAGGCTGGGGGGAAGAGAGAGGACACAACTGAAGAATGTACAGAGCACTACAGGGATGAGGGTTCTGTAATAAAATGGGCAGCCACGGAGTTTTGGTGGTGACAGAAAGAGAAGATGTCAAGAATCATGGGGGTGATCCTGAGAGTCTCTCTCCTAGAAAGGGTAATGGATGATCAATCCTGGCACTGTGGTCCTGAATGCTGTGGTGAATGAAGGGACATTTTGTAAGGGTAGCTGCCATCCCAGTTAGCATAAAGTAGCAAGATAAGGATTGCCCCCCCCTCCCCAAAAGAGGAGCTACAGCTCCCTCCTGATCTGGAAATTACAAGTCGGGATCCAGTCAACAGAGGCCTCAACTTAAATCTTACTTACTGAATGTGAACCACTATCTCAGTTGAAATGGGAACACATGGAAGCTTTTCTGTTAAGACCAAGTATTAAGTGCCCCTACTGAAGACCTGCTCTTCTTTCCCTATTACCTCCTGACAGCCTTATTTCTTTTTTCTTTTTTTTTTTTTTTAAGATTTTATTCATTTATTTGACAGAAAGAGAGATCACAAGTAGGCAGAGAGACAGGCAGAGAGAGAAAGGGAAGCAAGCTCCCTGCTGAGCAGAGAGCCCAATGCGGGGCTTGATCCCAGGACCCTGAGATCATGACCTGAGCCGAAGGCAGAGGCTTAATCCCGCTGAGCCACTTAAGGCACCCTCTGAGAGCCCTATTTCTTTATAAGAAATGTCTGTAAGCAAAAGCCTAAGCAAAGGTTTCTGCCTCTAATTCAAATCATGCTAGAAGAATGGATTTTCCTTTATTTTTAAGATTTTGTTTTTTTAGTAATCTCAACACCCCAGGTGGTCTCAAACACAGGACCCTGAGATCAAGAGTCACATGTCCCAACAACTGAACCAGCCAGGCACCCTGGAGCTTACTTTAAAACAAACCACAACTAATTGATTATTACATGGCAAAAAAATAATTATTTTCAATCAAATCCTTTCAATACAGCATGAACTCATCATTTCTAAAAATAAATTTTACTTAGTATGTTAGGATAAAACCCATAATAGTTAATATTTTAATTCTCACTCCTGAAAAACTTTAATTCCCAAAGATAGATATTCATTTTAAACAATTAAGAAAGTTAAAAGAGAAAAATATTTCTTAAACATGAGTTTGCCAACTAATAATCTTCAATACCATTCAGCTGATTTGTTTCTTGGTTTAACAACTATTCCTCACAGTAGATTCAGTGAGAAAAATAAAACTTAAAATGAAACCTAAAAAAAGGGGGCAAGGTTAATGCAATTTACAATGTCTCAATTGCCCAAGGTTGGTTACAACTGTTCTCCAAGGATAAGAACTGAAGGTTCCCAAAATGCAATTTTTTAGCAAGTAATCAAATTATAAGGCTTTGAAATATACACTGTACTTTCTCAATTGCTTAAATTAACACATTTTAGCCAAATTGTCCTTTATCATGCAGATTCTAGAGGTAATCCTATTAGGCTAAAGTCACCAAGATCTACAGTTTATAATTAATACATTCTTCAAGGTTAATTGAAAATAAACCACCAGCAGTGTTAAGAGTTAGGCATTTATTCTCGTTAGTTTTTCAAATTTAAACAGTGCGTAGTCTCCAGAGATTTCAAAATGCCTCAGAAAATTGAGTTACTTTTTCAAAAACAAGTTGGGTAAAGTAATAACAAGTGAAGGTTAAAGACAATAATCCCCAAAACTACTTTAGCACGGATTCTAAAAGCTATCTGATAAAAAACAGTGCTGGGGAGGAGAGGGGGAGAAAATCAATAATTCCAGTTAATTTAGGGTGAAGTTATTAGCAATTTTCTAGAACTATAAGAAGCTCTTAAGTTTTTCAAATATTTTGTTCCAAAAAAAGTTCTTGCTGAGCACTTCGAAAATATACAGATTCAAGATTCAAAGGGATGAAAATAACTAAGAATGAGTCATCTCAGCGAAGCAAATGGTTCATAGAGAAGTTAAAAGTCTCTCGCTGAACAAATTATTTTTAAGCTGGACAAGGTATTTCCAATTTTAAAACATAAAGCATCAGTTTTCGGCCCCAAAAATAAAGTGCTTGAATATTATCACACTCCTATCCTTACAGCAAGAGAAAAAACACATACACACACACAAAAAAAAACAAAAAAACCCCCACCACATTGAAAATCAACTTTCTTTAGGGTTATCAGATAATTAAGGACATAAGGCAAATTGAATTCCTGAAATCTGGAGAGACAGGCAAATAGAATCACACCCAAGAACAGCTTACCTGGAACAGGAGGCACTAGAGCAATACACTAGGGAGAAAACTTAAATGGTAATTTTGACAAAGGCTTGCAAGTAAGAACTCCTAGCGACCAAGTCTTACGAGGGCCCTCCACACTTTCTTGGCTCTACTTCAGGACTTCTCCAGGTTCTGAACATGAAGATCCAAGAATGATCTCCTCCCCTTTTCAGTAAGAGGGTGGGTTTTGGGTTTTTTTTTGTTTTTTTTTTTTTGGTTTTTGTTTTTTATTTAAAAAAAGCAACAATTTTGAAATAAGCCCAGAGTTAAGATCCAGTAAAAATCGTCTCCCTTTTAAGGAAGAAGGGGAACATAACCATTTTGAAAAACACCCAGGGAAAAATTACTGTTTTGAAATAAGCCTAGAACATTCTGTAAAACAAAGGCAAACAGTCAAAGGGAAAATTTACCAGAGCCTTACATATTGTCCTGGGAGAGGGGAAACTAGCCAGCTACAGCCCCTCTAGCCTTCTTGCTTCACCTAAAACGAAGGGGAGGAAAAAAAGCTTAAAAAAATACTTGTGAAGGTTCCAGGCCAGGACTCAGGCCCACCAAAAGACATAAGATTTGGTCCTAAGACTGTAGAACATTTCCTCTTCTCCATACTCTACCACCAGGTCATGAAGTTCTGATACAGTAACAGCAGATTTTAAAGGAAAGAGTTACAAGAAGCAGACTATTTAAACTACTAACTATTTAAACTATTTAAAAAGGAGTTCTTAGGGAAACACAAAGACAATGGGGGAGAAAAATAAACAAACAAAAAGACACCGGAGGAAACTGAAGCCTCTGGCACCTACACATAAAACACCCAGCCAGCCCCAAGCCCAATAACTTAAACCATCACACTAAGTGCCCATTTACCTCAGTTCCTATTACCCGATATAGCCTATCTGGGTTTGTTTTGTTTTGTTTTAAGATTTATTTATTTGACAGAGAAAGAGAGAGCACAAGCAGGGGGAGTGGCAGGCAGAGGAAGAGGGAGTGGGAGAAGCAGAAGATATTTACCAGACTGAGCCACCCAAGTGCCCCCTATCTGGGTTTTAAAAAACATTAAAAAGCCTGCTAAAA